ACCGGTGCCCGTTCCTGCGAGGAAGCAAGTGAAAACTGGGTGGAAAGGGTCGAATATGTAAAGATGTCAAGGCAGAGAGAAAGGGGAGGGGGAAGCGGCATGCCAGTCGCCGCATCTGACTCAAATGGCGAGTCGTGATGCGGCGGCTGGCTCGCGGCTGCGATGGTGCCACGGCACCGCCTGAACGAGCTTGCCTGCAAGAGAAACAGCAAATGGCGGCACAAAAAGGAGAATAGAGATGAAAGGCTGTGCGAAAGCAGCGGAACTGCTGCGATGCACGCCCAGCCAGGGCCACAGCTGGTGGCTAGCTGGAGTGGCGCGTGACGCCGCTCCCGAGCTGCCGCTGGGCGAAAAATAAGAAAAAAAAGCTGCTTCCTGGGGTCTGGATGCTTGGTTACAAGTCATCCAGCCCCATGGAAGTTGGAATCACCCGTCCCGCTAGGCCGGGTCGCCGCCGACCGGGCACCTGAAAAAGCCCCAGGCAAGCCCCACAGCAAAGCCCCACTGAGGGAGGTACGGCCGGTCGGCAGCGCCCTCCCGCGACCTAGCGCGTCGCGTGGAAGGAAGAAGATCTAGATACGAAGGTAAGGTAAGTAGCCTCCGGGGGCATCGGCGAATAAAAATAGAATAGATTGGAGGGATCCGCCTAGGGATCCGCGAACAAGAAGCCACCAAACCCCCACTCCCGCATCCTGCCTACATGCACACACTAGGTGTAGTCCAGAAGAGCACTAAGTTGGGGGGGGATCGCCTCCCGTAAGCGGTCCTCTGAAACCCACTCGGGATCGCGTGTGCCCGGCCATTTTACGTAATATTCGCGTTTCCGGTGGCCGCGGCGGGAGGTAGTTCGCACTTCGAGAATCTCTGTATCCTCGAGGCGCGGAAGCTCGCGAGGTCGCTGCTGTTGTTTCCTCGCTAGAGTGCGAGGAAACCGCGGAGATTCCCGCAACTGTTTTAAGAATCCCACATTGATAGTATGATGACATCCCCACGTTGAGGGTAAATCGATAATATACGCCAAAGCGTTGACCCGAGAGCGGACCGCGAACGGTCCAACCCATCGTGTGGCAAACTTTTTGGGTTGCTCGCCCT